AATAAGTTCACTCCACTCAAACAGCCACAGTCACCAGATTTCAATCCAATCTAGCATCTTGGTGATAAGAAGGATTCACACCATGGATGTGCAGCCAACAAATCTTCAGTATCTGTGTGACGTGATCGTGTCCATGTGGACCAAAATCTCGAACGTTTCAGCACCTGACTGAATGTACGAGGGGGGGGGAAGCAACTGTGTATTACTAATAAAAAGTCCAGTTAGGTTAGAAGCTTCAAATATCTGCAAAGTCATTGTTAAGTATTATAACTGAGTTCAAGAGACTTTTTTTTAAATGGTACTTTTATTTCTGCCAACTTATATGAGGACTACTTGGGGGAAAAGTATGTTAATGGAATGGACACATTTATAGACTCTAAATATGGATTTTTCTACAGCTTTCTTTTCTTTTTTTAAAAAAAAGAAAACTGTAGAAAAAAAATCTTTAAAAATAAATTGAATGATGACCTAAAACGGCGTCTCTCTCTCTTCACACTCATGTCAAGAGAAAAAGTTTAAACGCCCAAAAACTAGAGGACCAAACAGTTGTGTGAGCTGCAGTTAAGAAAAGCTGTGTAATTTGTGGCTTTAATCAGACAGAAACACGTTTAGTTCAGATTTTCTTGCTCCAAAACAAACCACACCACAGGAATTCCTAACAACGTGTGTTTAATGATCAGAGACAAAAAAAAGAAAGGAAAAAAATATATAGACAATCTGATGATGCAAAGAACATGCAGTCTGGTAGTTTAAAAAAAACAAAACAAAGTACAGACACGGATTCGACATCCATGTCACTCTGAGACAGTGCAAAGTCGTGGGGCTGCTTAACAGTCTATCATCCTTAGAAAGCAAACCGGGGGGGGAAACAAGTTGTGCGAGACACGGGAAACAAGCAACGGGGCATATCATGTTCATTTTACACACATGTACAAAGATACATGAGAGGCACGTTTTCTTTTGATGAGTAATAACCACCTACGGGGTGATCGTGTCAGATTTTAATCTTGTCCTTTTTATCTAAGTGAGAAGATGAAGTCCTCTGAACTCTTCTATCAGTCTATGGATTCAGTCATCGAAGAAGAACAGCTTCT